GTTAAAGGTAACTTTTCCTGGCCAGAACAATAAAATCAAAGAACGAAAAGGTATACAGATTGCAAAAGAAGGAACAAAATTATCTCTATGGGCAGATATCATAGTCCTATACAGAGAGAATCTGAGAGTCAACAAGAAAACAAACAAATCATTTGGGTTTCTATACACCAGCAATGAGAAAGCTGAAAGAGAGATTAGGAGACAATAACATTTACAATAGCATCTAAGAGAATCCAATCCTGAGGAATAAAGCTAACAGGGATGTGAAGGATTTATACATTGAAAACTATAAAACACTGCTGAAAGAGATTAAAACAACAACAAAAGAAATCAGATTGCGCCATTTTCCTTACGGTGGGTTTGAACTGTCAACCTTCTGGTTAGCAGGCAAATGCCTTAGGCACTATGCCACCAGACTCCTAAAAAGAGATTAAAGAGGGCAGATAGATAGAAAGGAGCAATGGTGGTGCAATGGTTAAGGCATTCCGCTGCTAACCAGGAGGTGGAAGGTTGGAGCCCACCAGCCACTCCAAGGGAGAAATATGAGACAATCTTCTGTAAAGATTTACAGCCTTACAAACCCTCTAGGGCAGTACTTCTCTGTCCTATAGGGTTGCTGTGAGTCAGAATCGACTCCATGGCAGAGGGACATAGGATCAAATTGACAAGAGCAACTCAATTTGATAGGAACCTTAGCGGGGGCAGTGCGTTTATATTCATGAGGGAGGAACAACTCAGAAAAGGAGAGTGAGAATAGCTGCCCAACTCAAAGTATGCCACTAAATTGTACATGTTGAAACTGGTACTCTGTATACTCTCCATAACAAAGTGAAGAGAAAGAGACAACTTTTAATCTCATGTTGAGTCAATGCAAATTAGTTTAGCAGGACCATATGTTGTTGTTTGGTACAGTGCTCTTAGTTCCGACTCTTAGAGACCCTGTGTACAGCAGAAAGAAACAGTGCTTGGTCCTGCTCATCCTCATAATCATTGCTGTTCTTGAGTACATTGTTGCAGACACTGTGTCCATCCATCTCATTGAAGGTCTTCCTTTACTAAGTGGGATATCTTTCTCCAGAGACTGGTCCCTTCTGACAATGTGACCAAAGTATGAGAGAGGAAGTGTTTTGTTTTCTTTGTATTGAGATGTAATCCTTACTGAAGGCTGTAGTCTTTAATCTTCATCAGTAAGTGCTTCAAGTTGGCTTCACTTTCAGCAAGGTTGTGTCATCACAGTTATGCCATGGTTTTCTTCATATAGTCCAGCTTCTCAGATTATTTAGTCCGCATACAGATTAAATAAGTGTGGTGAAAGGATACAACTCTGATGCAAACCTTTCCCTATCTATGCCCATATATTGGCTCTGATAGCATAATGCCTAAGGCACTTGACTGCTAACCAGAAGGCTGGCTGTTCAAACTCACCAGCCACTCCTCGGAAGGAAGGTTGGGCAATCTACTTCCATAGTGATACTGCCTTTGAAACCCAAGGAGGGGTCACTATGAGTTGGGTCTGACTCCATGGCATATAACAACAAAGGAGCTCTGGTGGTGAAGTAAGATGTTTGGCTGCTAACCAGAAGGTCAGTGGTTCAAATCCACCAACTGCTCCATGGGAGGAAGATGAGGCAATCTATTTCCATAAAGAGTTACAGCCTTGGAAACCCAATGGGGGTTGCTATGAGTTGGAATTAACTTGATGGCAGTGGTTTTGGGTTTTTATTTGGATGTTGGTAAAATTCTGATGAAGTTATTCGTAGAAAATATGGCAAGCCATATTTTCCAGAATTTCAAAAGATCTAGCAGTTTAAATTACCCTTCATTCTGTGACTTTGGTTATAATTCAATACTTAACCCTCAAAATGACCAGCTTTCTCACATTTGATAGTGCTCCTTCCTGATAAGTGGCTCAAAGCATTCCTCATGGACGTATGTAATCTTTAGGGGCTCTGCTGATTCTCTGTTCATACTCAGTGTCTGATAAACTGTCCAGTTACAGAGATATTTGAAGCTGATCCATTTTCGTGAATTTGCAGGTCCTTTCCCTGACATGTCCTCTAAACAGTAGTTTAGAAACAACTGTACTCTCTTTTGCTATAGTCCCATTCCTAAGGGTGGAACCACCTACACGTATTTCCATAACTTTATTTAAATACCTGAAATCTTCACTCTAGATTAAAAAAAAAAAAGTCAGCCTTTGACATATCAGAATTTAGGTCACTTTATCTTTTCCTACCTGAATGGCGGGAGCTCTGGTAGCATAGTGCCTAAGGCACTTGACTGCTAACCAGAAGTCTAGCAGTTCAAACCCACCAGTCACTCCTTGGAAGAAAGGTTGGGCAATCTCCTTCCATAGTGATACTGCCTTGGAAACCCAAGGAGGGGTCGCTATGAGTCAGGTCTGATAGCCTTCTGGTTAGCAGTCAAATGCCATGAGTCAGGTCCGACTCAAAGGCACATAACAACCACCACCTAAATGACCTTCCACTCTTCTGTAGCCATTCACATGCATAAAAATACTATGTTTTATTGTTGTTGCTGTTAGGTGCCCTCAAGCCGGCTTCAACTGACAAAGACCAACGTACAACAGAACTAAACACTGCCCAGTCATGCACCATTCTCAGAATCTTTGTTATGCTTGAGCCCATGATGGTGGCCACTGTGTCAATCCATCAATCCATCTTGTTGAGGTCTTTCCCGTCTTTGCTGACCCTGCACTTTACCAACATGATAGCCTCCCTTCTGACAACATGACAAAAGTAGGTGAGACAAAGTCTGTTCACTCTCACTTCCAAGGAGCATTCTGACTGTACTTATTCCAGGGCAGATTTGTTAGTTCTTCTGGCAGTCCATGGCATTTTCAGTATTATGTGTCAACACAATTCAAAGGCATCAACTCTTCTTTGGTCTTCCTTATTCATTGCCCAGCTTTCACATGCATATGAGACAATTGATATTGCTAATATTAGTAACTTGTATTCAATTCTTATAAAACTATGGAATTTTTTTTATTAGTAAAACTAATTAAATTCCACTTCTTGCACCTCAAGCAAATTACTTAAGGTTTTTGATTCAGTTCCCTAAATCAAATTACTTTGTGTGTGTGTGTGTGTGCAATTACCCCATGTTAAATAAATAGCTAACAGATGGGAGAACTGCGCGTGCACACGCACAAAGTAATTTGCTTGAGGTGCAAGAACTGGAATTTGAACTCCAGCAGTGTAGCACCAGAAATCATATTCTTTACAAGGATCTGGCTCTCCCCAAAATTCTGCTAAACTCCACACTCCTAAATCATTTTCTAGAACATATTTATTATTATTATTTTTTTGTTCCTTACTAACCTCAGTCAAAGGAACCCTAATGGTGCAATGGTTCAAGTCCTCTACAGCTAATGGAAAAGGTGGTTTGAACCCACAAACCATGTTTGTGGCAACCTGCTTCTGTAAAGATTAAAGCCTTGGAAACCCTATAGGGCAGTTCTACTCTGTCTTACAGGTTCTCTATGCATCAGAATGCACTTGATAGCAGTGGGGTTGGTTTGTTTTTTAACCTCAGTCCTTAGAATCTACATGTTTCAGACCTTATGACTTAAACATGAGTCATAAGTTTCTTTAGGCAGCTTTGTCCTTTATGCTAAGCAATCTGAACAACACAATTCATATTTTTGAAAGCTGTGTTAACAGTGTTAATAGCCACTAATACTCAGGTGAAACTTGAAACCTACAGTTATATTTACGGTTAGTTATAAGGCTCACAGCCTCAGCGCTTGGGGGACACTTGGCACAATCTTTCTGTTACAGATGAGGAAAAATATTCAAAGTGAGGATGTGGTTTCACCTTAATTTTCTAAGCGAGTCATGAAAATCTTACTTCTTTTCAAGTGTTTGAACCAACTGGAGATTGGAAAGTTAAATTTCCAAGATAAGGCAGGCAAGAACTTAAGCCTGCATTCATTCAAAACTTAAGTCAGATTTATATGTCATAATGAAATCAAAGGGTGGCTGACAGAGTCTAAGTAGTTTGGTTTCATACTACACTTGGAAGTCACCCAAAACAAACAAAACACTGCTATGGAGTTGAACCGAACTCATAATGACCCCTCCTTGGGTATCCGAGGCAGTAGGAACAAGTTTGCCCAACCTTCCTTCTGAGGAGTGGCTAGTAGGTTTGAACTGATAGCCTTCTGGTTAGCAGTCAAATGCCATAGGCACTATGCCACCACCGCTCCCAGCAAGGCACTAATTGGGCGGCTGTCCTTATTCAGGCCAGTATCTTAGACTCAACCCACAATATTTCCTCATTTCCTCTTCACACCCACCCCCACCCTCCCAAGCGTTAGATTTGGTAGTTCACGCCTTCAGCTCCCTCGCATTCCTTAACCTACCGCACAACGCCCACCTTAAGCTAGGGGAGGTACCCCAAGCAAATTTCCTAACCTCGAGAGACATGACGTAACGGTGATTTCCGGCTACGGATTGGGAGACTAGAGGTGGGGCGGCCGGG